AGCACCGCGACCAGGAATGGACGGCAGCTGTGAAGCACCGCGATGCATGGCACTTCGGGGTGCGGAAGTCCTTGAATGACGACCTCGAGGACGGACAGGACATTTAGTTCCATTAAGCTTTCTGAGTGACGCTGGCAGGAGTCGCAGTCGCAGCGGCGGATTTTGGCCGGGCGCTTGCAGGACGAGCAGGAGGCGGCTCGCAAGGACTGCCCTTTGCCAGCCTCTTGTGAAAGTTCTGACAGCCTTGAGCGCCAGGACAGAAAGGAAGCGCGGGCCGAATTGCTCAGCGAGCAGGCGAAAAACATCGCCTTGGAGGCGCGGTTAACTACAGCAGGTTACGCGGCACCACCCTGGAGCATTCTGGCAGGTGCAGATGATCGGCCGCAAGAGAGGCGGCGGTGGCGGCCGTGAGGGAGGCTCCGGCGGCTATGCCGGAGTTGGGGGTAGTAGTGCCAGCGGCAAACGCAGGTGACTGCAGGACAGTTTAATTTTCAGGGAGCCCAGTACGCCAATATGAGGATCCTGACTGTCGCTGTCGCACGAGGGGTGTAGCACACAGCACCAACAGCAACAGCACCAGCAACAGCAGCAGCAACAGCACCAGCCACAGCACCAGCAACAGCACCGGCACCAGCCACAGCACCAGCAACAGCAGCGGCAGCAGCCACGCCACCAGCAACAGCACCGGCATCAGCCACAGACAGTGGCTGCAACAGCCATGGGGCTTGGGCTTTCGGGTTTGCCGCGGATTAGCCGAGGTGGCTTAATTATATAGCATTTCGAGATGTGAATGCAAAGCTCCATGCGGGGGGAACGGCGGCAATAGCAGCAGAACATTCCCGCACTAGACAGGAGACTAGATAAGAAGGAAGATGTAGGAGAAGACAAACCCGAGAACCCGAGTCTTAGTGGCCACGTTTGTGCTGCTGGAGCTGAAGCATGCGGCACCGGGTGAAAAGAGCCGATCTTCACATGTGAATCTCACGGAACATACAGAGCACTTGCTGATGTGGGCGCATGCTAACTGCAGAGCCCACCTTACGACATAATTGCTGCCCAGGCGTCTCTTCTTGCTCTCTGCTGACTGGGTCGCATTGCGTTGCGGCCTCATCGCATGTAGTTGCATGTTATAAAGCCCATACGGCGCTGAAGAAGCAGCCGGGACGCCGTGGCGCTGAACAAGCAGCCAGTTAGTTCTTGTGTGCTGAAGTGGTTGTTACACCGTGCCTGTGTTGAAGGGGTTTTTATAATGACTGATGTCTGTGCGGCGCTGAAGAAGCAGCTGTGTCGACGTGGCGCTGATTAAGCAGCCAGTTGTTGTGTCTTCTTGGCGAATCAGAGAACCTTATAGTCCCTTGACATCAGATATAATCTTGGCTGCTTGCTCAGCGCCAGATTTCATGACCTTATTGGGAACCCTGGAACCGACATCAGATATAACCTTGGCTGCTTGCTCAGCGCCAGATTTCATGACCTTATTGGAAACCCTTGAACCCTCCAGTTTCGAAACGCCCCTGTAGTCATGAAATCATCATGACCTGTGGGGCGCTGAACAAGCAGCCGTGTCGACGTGGCGCTGAACAAGCAGCCAGTTGTTGTGTCTTTGTGCCCGAACCCCCCTCAACCCCCCCCCCAACCCCCCCCCAAACCCCCCCCAAACCCCCCCGAACCACCCCCCCCAAACCCCCCCAAACCCCCCCGAACCCCCCCGAACCCCCCTCAACCCCCCCTTTCCCGGTAGTCACCAAACCCTGTTATTAGTGGGAAACCCCCCAGTTCTCAAACCCCCCGGGAAAGCAAACCCAAAACACAACCGGGCCCCACGAGGCCCCGGAAGCCGGAAAAACCAGACTTCCGTCCAAGGTCTGGTTTCGGTCGTCGTGTTGAAAGACACCTGTGTGGGGCGACAAGATAAGCTTTTTCAGCACATTTGAAGGTGCCACAGGCAGTGTTTTTGCTTGATACTCTTCATGCCACTGTATCGTTGCTGCAACAGCAAGCAGGAAGTAGGTTGCTCCCAGCCTCTCAGGTTCGCTGGCCTCGCCGATGCTGCTGATCCGCGCCTGTCTGGGCAGAGGCGACGCATTGCTCTGCACAGTTGCCACCCACTGCAGTACAGCTTTGAAGAGATAGCAGTAGTGCACACATCACATTTCCAGCGAGGGAGCTTGCATGAGCGAATTTCTTCAGCGTGAGGCTCGTGTTCTTCTTTTCATGATTGATGTCCTTCCACTTCTTGCAGAATTCAACCTCACAGAAGTGGCTAGTGTATCACTCTAGTGAGTTTGCTGCTGATTATGTAGCTTACCACCGGCCTCTAACACCACCACGAAGCAGCAGTCCCGGTCCAGCAATGCAACAGTATCTAGCCTAGCTGGCAAACAACAATGTTGTGCCCAGCGAGGGTGCAAGGCGAGCAGCCAGGCAGATGAAATACACATTCCATTTTCTGGTCTCCTCGTAAGCCCTGTCCAGCGGCCATGGGGTATCGCTCCAACCAGAAGCGGAGCGCTGCTCATCATTTGATGCAGGACACTGCGAAGGCGAAGGCCCAGGCCCCTTATCTCAAGAATGAAGCATCGTAATGTGCATGTTGTCGCGTTGTGATGCTGATGGGTCGACCAGTTTTGAGGCCAGCACTGCTTCCTCGTCATCAGGGCCGCCTTCCTCAACATTAACTCCGCTGCCAGCTCCTGGGCGTGGTTTGGATTGCTTTCATTATAAAGCGACTGCGGTGAAGACAAGCGGGTGTCGCTGAAGACCTGGCGCTTTCCAAGGTCGTGGTGCCAGCTCGGAGTTTGGCTGCAACAGCCCGACCAGCACCTTGGTTTGCAGACTCCTGGCTTCTCCAGACTCTTGAGGTTTGCAGGTCAGTGCGTGTTGTCTCTTCTTTGGCATGCAAGGTGGTCATTCCTCCGAGACACGCGCCGGCAGAAGCTGCAGCTGAGGAGGCCGTGGCTTGGCCGTAACAATCCTAATATTTCTCTTCTTTCTGATGTCTTGCTGCACAAGGAGCCTGCGGATCAGCGTCTGCAAGCTCATGATGCAGTGCCTTGGCTGCCACAACCAATGCTGGTGTGTCTAGTGTTAGTACTGTTTCTGTTTCGTTGTCCAGGTCAGCCCAGCGGGTGCCGCAGAGTCCGAGTTGCTTCCAGCTCCCGCAGAGGATCCAGCTCCTGATGCAGTGCCTTGGCCAAGAAGGCACATGTCTCTATCTGAGTGCCAAAAGTGTAGCCTGTGCCCAGAGCAAGAGTTGTGGCATTCGTGGCGCAACACAATCCCGAAACTTTCGGCGAGTACATGATGCCCTAACGCTTTGGACTCGAGCAAGGTCTCCCAGCACGACCTGGATGTGGCTGCAACAGCCGCGACTTAACCGGTTTAGGCTTTATTGCGAATCATTTCTCTGAAATCTTCCCTGCGTCAGACTGTGCGCATGGGCTAAGGAGCTCCCGGGTGGATGGCACGCAGAGACGGACCGTGCTGGCGTCTATTACGTCAACCCGGAGCTGAGGCTGACGACCAGGGTCTGGCCTTCTCGCCGCTGGCAGGCTTACAAGGGCGATGCGCCGCCTGGGATGGAGGCGTGGCTGGACCCGGCGAGCGACATGGTCGTCTACTGGCCGACAGCGGTGGCTTCAGCTCCAGCACCTGAGGCAGCTCCTGAGGTAGCTGATACAGCTGCGCAGGGCAATTCGCAGGTGGCTGAAACAGCCCAAGTGGCTGATGCGACGGAGGGCCCGCTGGATCCCGTCAAAGTACGGAATAAAGCGGTCTTCCAGCAGGTCGTGACGTTTGCTGCGTCAACAGCCGCAGCAGCTGCTGTGGAGCAGATGGAGAAGGAGAGGCGCAAGGACGCCGAGGCTGCGAAGCAGCGCCGGAAGGAGCAGGCGGAGGAGCGGAAGAGGAGGAAAACAAAGAGCATGGCAAGTTTTGAAACGGAGGACGGACTAGTCCTAGTGGAAGTTGGACAGATGCCTCCTGTGCCAGAATCTGATTAAAACGTCTCTTAGTGGTCAATCGTGCAGTGCATGCCACCGGTAGCTTCTGTCTCGCGGTCTCGCGGTGACAGGTGGACGATGGCAGAGCTGCTCGCCCCGGCCCCGTGGTTTCAGACTTTGATTTGAGTGCCGTGTAGAAGGGACGTGGGTGCAACAGCATAAAGCATGAAGCAAGAGTCCGTTTCGTGACAACCAGGCCTTGTTCTCCACAAGCTGCTTGCGAGGTCCTCAGCTTTACCGGTAGGCTGTTGGGTTGCCGGGCTAAAGTTGGAAGTATAAGGATCTTTTTGAGGGGAGTTTGCATTTTTGCTGGGTCGGGCTTTCGGGTTAAGGATGGGCGTGCGCAGATAATAGGCACTGCTGATTGCAGTGAATGTGGCCAAGTTGGAGTGCAAAGCAGTTATCATGTTTTCAGGGTTCAGCTGCACGCATTCTAGTTCAGCCACCACTCAACCTCCAAGACTTGTTCTTATCTGGTCTTAGGCTGGGCTCGGTTATGAGCGGTCTGAAGTTGGCGGTTTCAAGCGAAGCCAAGCCATTCTCATCACAGCCGCGTGGCTCATTAACGGCACATCATGCTTGTTGGTTTGAAGCCTGAAGTTCCTGAAAGACAGATTGCCCATTCAGTGTCCAAGTTCACCCGAGTTGTAAATGATAAAGCACGAGCGGAAGCTTAACATTCCAATATGATAGACAATCTTCAACATTTATATTGCCATGAAAGCCACGCCTCGGGGATCCTGCAAGGGGTGCACATCACCTCAATGCGCTCCGTGTAAGGTTCGTCGCCTGAAGAGTAAGTGGGTTCTGAGTCTGACAAAGGACAAGCAGAAGAAGCCTTGGCTCGCTTGCAGCTTCAAGCCTTTTGGAGTGGGCTGCACGGTGTGTGCAGCCAAGAAACTGAAAACGGTTTGGGGCAGGTTCAAGGTGACAGATCCTTCGTGTTTGCAGTTGGTGGTCTTCAAGCGGCATGAACAAAGTGATGCTCATCGTTTGGCTATGGGTCTTGAAAAGGTTGGTCCCGTAGCTGCAACAGCTCCTGCTCTTGAAGAGTTCCAGAGTGTTCTGGATCAGCGGCGCAGGAGGTTGAGCATCAAGCAGATGGCGGATGAACGAAAGAGCGGGCAGGGCAAGGTTAGACGGCTCCAATTCTGCTTAGCAGAAGCTGCGCGGCACTTTGTCCGTGGGGCCCTTCGTCGTGCCAAGGTCATGGCGATCCACCAGGATGCTCGCGGCGACGTCCTGCTATCACGTTTCGTGCTGTCTGATCAGAAGCTACGCATCGTCCGCGGCTCCTTGCCCTACCCCAAGAAGCATCAATCCACCGGCGATGGCCTTGCAAAGGCCACGGAGACCTCTCTCCAGATGATTTGCACTCCCTATCTGGGAGCCCCGCCGAGCAGTTTCTTGGATAGCATCATTCTGGCAAGAGGTTTCTTTGCCTCAACCCGTGGCTGCTACAGCCTGGCGAAGCCCCGAGGCCTTTGTTTTTCGTGTTTTGGTTCAGGGTTTGGTGTTTCAGCTTTTTTCGCCTGTGGGAACGAAATTCAGGTCAGATGGATGTGTTGCTGAAACAGCAGCCTGACCAGCAGCTGCTACAGCACGTCAAATCCATTGTGGAGATCTTGGATGGAGACGGTTGCCCTGCACAGCAGCAGAGCCTGGAGATCATTGGGCGCACCCTCCCGAGTCTGAAGATCAGGGTCCAGGATCCGACGCACTCCACGCGGAGGACCTCGGGTGGGGTGGGAATTGGGTTTAGGGTTTAGGGGATGTTCCTTTTTCAGGGATTGAAGATGACCAATGCTATAACAATTTAATCGCAGCCTTCGGGGTTCTTGGACGGATTCCCGGGATTTGGGGGTCGGAGTCAGCCAGTGTAGTCTGCACACCATCAGCGCAGTGCATGTTGCCTTTCTGACCTGACTGGCATGTTGCTGCTGCAATGAAGATCAAGCGGGTCCGAGGCTGATCCGACAGCATATCTTGCTTTCAGTCAGAACAAAGGGCATATGCAATATCGAACTCTTACAAGTTCAGGGCTCATTCAGGGCTCAAGCTTCAGGCAATGCGGGCTCAGCATTTGGGCTCACTCAGGGCTCTAGCTTCAGGGCATCGGCATAAGAATCTGGGCTCACTCAGGGCTCTAGCTTCAGGGCATCGGCATAACAATCTGGGCTCACTCAGGGCTCTAGCTTCAGGGCATCGGCATAAGAATCTGGGCTCACTCAGGGCTCTAGCTTCAGGGCATCGGCACAAGATTTCGGGCTCACTCAGGGCTCTAGCTTCAGGGCAGAAGACTTCAGGCTCAACTCAGGGCAGAACACTTTGGGCTGAGGGCTCAGGTTTTTCAACGATCATCTTTGTTTCACAAAATGTCCTGGTCGTGGAGTGGGTGGAGCTGGTCCAACTGGTCGTGGAGCGACTGGTCTGACTGGTCCTGGAACGATTCGCGGCAGCAGGCCTGGCCGGGACCTGGAAATTATGATAAGACTAGATTGCCCACCCCAAACCGTAAACCCAAAACCCTAATGACAAGGAGGTTCTATCTCCGTTCCCATTGCTGACAGGCCTGGAGCTGGCGTAACGATGATGACGCCCAAGGGGCATCCAGCTCAGCGGCTGCTTCCAGCTCAGCGGCTGATACAGCCAAGGCCTCGGCGCCAGCGGCTGGAACAGCCAAGGCCAAAGGCAAGGGCAAGTCCAAGGCCCAGCGGCCTTGAAAAAGTAGGTTCCTGGATTCCTAGTTAGCTTTTCTTTTCTTCTTTTCCTTCCTGGATCCCTGCTTCAGGGCCGCAGCCGCGAGGATCGCCCGGAGCTGCTGCGCAACTACTTGCGGTCGCGCATGAGCATCCTTCAAAGGGACCGCGAGGGCGCCGATGCCTCCTTCGATATCTGCTCCTGGGTCTTCGAGTCCTGCCTGCACAGAAAGCCTAAACCCTAAACCGTAGACCGTGAACAACCCTAATACCCAGGAGAATGCCAGCTGGTACAGCTACAAGAAGTTCTTCGAGCAGAAGAACAAGGAGCCCATCTTGACGCGGCAGGAGGTAAGCAAGGGCGCGAGTGCTTTGGTGGCCACGTTTCTCCAAGCCGAGATCCTTGGGTATCACTTGTCATACTTTCTCTTGAAAATTGTCTCCAATTCCTGCCCGCTCATTCCTGCTACTAATATTTTTCGAAAAGGCAGCGCCTGCGTCCCTGGTTCTGGGTGAGCCCCAAGCACGACATGGAGGAGCTGTTCAACGAAAAGTTGACGCAGGAGCAGCTCCAGCAGGTGAGATCGGCCTACATGACAGCCACAGGCCCGCAAATACGGTTTACGGTTTAGGTCTGATTAAGTTTCAGGGTTTCAGCTTCAGGGTTTAGGGTTTAGGGTTAGCAGTTGAAGCCCGTGAAGGCGCGGTCGAGCACAGCCTTCCGAACAGGGCCATCGGAGACGGGGAGGCGGAGGTGGAGGTTCCCTCTGGAGTGGCTGGAACAGCCTCGGCCTCTGCTACAGCGTCTGGCTCTGCTGGCTCCGCTGCAGTTTCTGGGTTTGAGGAGACGGGTGATCTTTCGAGCCCAGTCAAGAAAGCCCGGTTCCTGCCTGCGCTGGCTGAAGAGGCCGAGGCAGGCAATGGACGAAAGGTTCAACCTCAGGATTTCTAGATTCAGAATGGTTTGACCTGCATGAATGCCTAAATCCTCCAGTCCCTATCTGGACCCTCCTCATAAACCTCAATCCCTAGTTTGTTTCATTCCGTATATTCCTGCCAGGTGGCGTTGAAGCTGACGGAGGGCCTGCACCAGGTGACCTTCCGCTTCAAAGACGGCAAGCCCTCGAAGGTGACCGCGGAGTACATGGTCTACATGCCGTACGGGGAGGTCTGGGACATCCTGCAACAGGGTATTTTGTTTGGTTCATTCTAGGTTTTTTTGTTCCGGGGGAACAGAAAGCCCTAGACTGCGAACCCTATGGCTAGGTCAAGCACGTGCTGGTGTATCTCTCGACACAGGGGGACTTCGATCTGGAGGGAATGCAGTTGGACTGGCTCAAGCAGCAAGGTGTATGCATCATCAAGCCTGGGGTCAACGTCCAGAACCGGGCAGGTGCATACACGATGAAGCCACCGCGGTGGCTCTTTGCCTTCTTGATGGAAGCACCTCGTCCGCAAGCCTCAAGGATGGCCCCTCAAAAGCTCACAAAGCTGAGAGTTTGTAAGGTTCTGGGGGTACCGGTTGATGAATCCGTGCTTTCTTGAAATTTCACAGGCCAGCTGCTTGAAGGCGGTGCCCTTCCTGGTGGCTGCATACAGCCGAGGGGCGCATTGGGCCACAGAGATCTGCCAAAAGTGCGAGCCTCGGGAGATGCTGTGGAGGCACTCGGATGAGGACCGCATCTCGTCCAAAGCCCTCCACCCTAAACCCTAAACACAAGCCTTAAACCGTAAACCCAAAACTGAGCAGGGGCCTTGGACCTCGGTGTGGCACACTGGCGATGTGGTGGACCGGCTGCTCTGCGTTGGTCTGTATGCCACTGCTGGCCTCAGCCCCGAGGAGGTCCAGGATCGGGGCAAGTCTCTGCGAACAGAGATCTGAACCTTGGCTCCAAGGGAAGAGTTGCACAAAACGGGGGTTGCAAGTCTAGGCTAAAGTAAGCCTAGGCAACCGTATCCGGGCCCTAAGCCCTCTATTGATAATCCTGACACAGCTGAGACATCGTCAACTCGCTGGACGACGATGTGAGCCCCTTCGGGCAGATCGAACCTTTCCTGCAGGGCGTGCAGGAGAGGTCGGGCTACGGCTACTTCATCGTTCGCTGCAGGAACCTTGGGGGCACTTAGAAATATTTTTTTGTTATTATAGTCCCTACGTAACAGCTTAAAATTATAATTGTTGCTAGGGTTCTAAGTTCAATTTAGGAACATGGCTCACGCAGACCTGCACGAGCTCATGTTCTGCGGCGACTACGTGGAGACGCAGAAGTTTCGCAAAGCCTGCAAGATCTGGCGAAACTTCCTGCACATCTGATGCCTGTAACAGGTTTTCCTTATGCCTGCAACAGGCAAGGATACAGATGTGCATGCGTCTTCACGGTGCCTGAAACAGGCAGATGAAGTAGCCGTAGCCCAGTGCCTGTAACAGGCAGGATCTGCCCGGCCCCTTTTTTGTGCCTGTAACAGGCTTTGTGCTTGGCCCCTTGGCGTGCTTCTGGAGCTTTTGGGGCTTGTATAAGGACTATAACAAGGAGGCTAAAGGTACCTTCTTGGAGGGCTTCAGAAGCCAGCCAAGTGTACACTACGGTACACTGAGCCGTTGCAGTGCACACTACGCCGTAGGTGCGTAGCCTGTAACAGGCAGGCTCCATTCTGTCGCAGGTGGCAAGCCGGCACAGGCCAATCAACAATGCCAGAAGAAGACTTAGCACAGGAGTGCAGCAGTCGCAGTACTAGGTAGTAGTACAGTAGTACAAGAAGAATAAATAGTAGTAGTAGTAGCAGTAGTAGTAGTAGTAGCAGCAGTAGTAGTAGTAGCAGCAGCAGCAATAGTACCAGTACGAGCACTACTGCAAACCAGAAGTTGCTATAACATTACAACTACAGGGACAGTAGCACTAGTAGGACTACTGTTACTACGTACAGGTGCTAGTCCTAGGACTGCTATAGTAGTAGTAGTAGTAGTAGTAGCAGTAGCAGTAGCAGTAGCAGTAGCACTAGCAGTAGTCAGTAGTATTCCGGCTTCCGAAAGCCCCGCAGTCTGTGCTGGCCGGCTCTGTGACCGCCGAGCCCTGGAGTTCCGATCGCTTGCCGGTGCCAAAAAGGCGTATTTCTTTTAAGAAACGTCGTTTTATAGTGCATGCTGCAGGACCCATCAATTAGTCGTCTTCAACAGTTGCGTACATGTCGTTGTTGCGGACTCTAGTGGTCTGGGGTCTAGCACGTACGTGTTCTAGGCCACAAACAAGATAAACAAAGCACATGAATGACTCTTACAACCTAACGGACGCATCCTAGAAAGCCCACAAAGCTTCAAGCAACCCCAACGTAAGCTAAGCCCAACTCCAAGGTAAGCGGCACTACACTCGACCTCTGACCAGTGTACTTTCATGAACCCAAGATGAGCTCCGAATAACATCGTAGCTCGGATCCTGAAGCTGCTGCCTGCGTGTCCATGCAGACCCTGTTCCCAAAAAGCCCCGAATCTGAAGCTGCTGGCTGTGAGGATCTACTCGCGGCCGCTGAAGGCCGACAAGTTCCTGGACGACACAATGGAGAAGCTGGTCATGGGCAAAACTGCTGTGGTCAAAGCGGCTGCCTACAGCCTTCCCTTCAAGAACCTGCTGGAGGGCTTCATCAAGACCATGGAGGTAGTCGGCCCGTGTTTCATACATGATAGTTTGAAGCTTTCCTGCAACGCACCATGCAAAGTATACATGCTAAATGACACTGACATGTGCAGGACCGTTCCACAAACGCTGTGCGGAATTTCAGCCTGGCGAAGCAACGATTCGAATCCTCCTACGAGCCCATGCTTCGTCTGACGCTGTTCCTGGAAGCCTTCATCATGGCGGCGCAGCAGATCATCAGGAACAACAGCTCCGAGGAGACCGCTGTGTGCAACAGCTTCCTGCAGCTGCTGACCGAGGAGAGGCTCCTCACCCTTGCGATGCTCGGAGATGCCTCGGCATGCATTCTCAGACTGACCCGCTTCTTGGATAGTGAAGAGCACGACATCAGCGGCGTCGCCGACCAGTGCCTCGAATGTGCCAACTCGTTGCACCATTTGTTTGCTGATCAGGCGTGTGATGACAACGGACTGACTCGACACATGCTGGCCCGTCTCGAGCGGCCTCTTGTCTGGCTTTTCAAGGACGGCACGGCAGGTAGTGTGGGTGGCAATCCGGCAAAAACCAGAGATGCACTCGCAAAATGCCGTCCAAGATTTCTTGCATACACAAAGTTGGCATTGCAAACTCTCATGGCAGAGTTTCCTTCTTTCGGCTGCCTCATGGCTTTTCGAGCCTTCCAGCTTGGTGTTGGTGGCTGCAACAGCCGCAAGCGCAAGAATCCAACGGGTCCCGGAGCCCAGACACGTCAGGAGTGTGTGGAGAGGCTTGCTTTACTATGCGACTTGCCCAAGGACACATTGCTGGAACAGCTCGAGGCCCGAAGCAAATCGGTAGAGTCTAGAGTCGTTGTTTAGAGCCCCGTTCTAGCCGGACCCGCCGGGCCTTCTTCAGTGTAACAGCTTTGTCAGGACCATCGACCAGCTGCCCAGGCAGTCTACAACTCGACTGACGTCGACACCTTTGATGCCTGGAAGCGGGCATGGTTGTCATATGAGAATGCGAGTGGTGGCCGCAAGAGACACCCAGGAGATGTACTGGGCGAAGCACTGCAGAGGTTTGGTGCCTATAACGGATGCACTTCATCTGGCGTCGAACAGTCGTTTGGCAAGCAGACGCAGCTTTTTGGAAAGCAGCGACTGCGAATGCTCGAATCCACCGCCAATGATGAGAACGCCCTTTGCTTGGATGCATTGGTGGATGATGCGAAGCTGTGCCATCGTGCCCGTGTGACTCGAATGAAAGACCTTAGTGGGGCCGTAGCTGTTGCAGGTTTGCATAAAAAACCATCGAGTCTGAGGTGATTTGGACTCACTTGCAGTATGGCAAACCGCGCAAAATGAAGTCGGACTCGCGGATCACCAAGGGCATGACTCGGAAGAAGACCAAGAAAGACTTGTCCATCAAGGCATGGCGCGATGCCTCCCAGAAAAAAGTTCTGAAGGAAGTGCGCAGCAAGGGGCCGTTGAAGAGCGTGAAGCAGCTTCATGGAAAGATTCGATTTGCCAGAGGCAGTTCGGCCTGGACGAGTGGTCATGAAACCGAAGCCGCATTCCAAGAGCGCAAACTGGACAAGAAGTTTCTAGATGCCGCATTGGACAAGAAGCTCCTGCAGGACGAGCAGACCAAAGTGGCTGGAACAGCCTTGCAGGTACATGCCAAAGCACGCGAGGCCAAGCGGCGCGAGCAGGAAAAAGAGGCCCGCAAGAGGCAGGACTTGGATATGCGCAGACCACGGATCCTGAGTCTTGGAGCCGCTGTCCGGGGCAAGGCCTGATTGTTGCAGTGCTGTTTCAATCTATTTACACCATTTGGGAGCTAGTTTTAGTACTTCCCGTGGACAGGTCGTTGCGGTGGAGAAAGAGCTGTCGCTGCCTGCAAATGCGCTGGTTGGCTGCCAGGAGGTGGAACAGCAGTGCAAGCAAGCCCAGGTGTGCATTGTGGAGAATGTGGCAAGCCCGTCCTCTCGTATGCGATGGGTGCTTGCTCTGTTCGGGGGGTTGTGTCTCTCCAAGAAGTTTGCGGCGTCGGCTGGCAAGCATGGGCCTTTCTTGAAGTACGAGGCAGCCAGCGCGAAGAAGCGGGCGATTTGGATCAGTGAGTCCTTCCAGGCAAGCATCCCTGGCATCACCGATCTTATCACTGCTGCATGCCGCAAGCCCGGAAGCCAATGGACGCTGTTGCAAAGGGAATCTGAAGTGACCACCACGCGTGGCAGCGTGATTGTGCTCATTGAGGCAGCTGACACAGCCAGAAAGCGCTTGTACAGAGGGCAGAAGAAAGCCGTGACAGCCAAAGAGTTTCTGAAAATGATTTCCGTGGTCGACAAAGTTGCCAGCCGCCTTTGCTGAGAAAGTGTTTCTGGCCGAGGCTTCCATGTACAGCTTTGCTTCAAGCAAACGTCGCAGGGGGAATGCGACAGGCAACAGAGCTCAGGACCAAAAGTCGGGTAAGAGACTTTGCAGATTCATTGGTGTGCAGCCGTTCTCTGAATGTTGGTTCCACTGTGATTTCAATAGGAAGAGATTCTTGGAAGTTGTAACAGGTTGCAGCTCATTCGTAATCTAAGTACGAAAAAAAGATGCCCTTATAGCGATGGGGTGACTGTTTAAACGCGACCCGCACGGCGCAGGTAGAGAATAAACAGTCAGGGGCGCCCCCGACTGTTTATTCTGACCCGCTGGGTCCATCAGGTCCAACACCCAGGGGCGCCCCCGACTGTTTATTCTGGCCCGCACGGCCTTGTATCCATTGTCTCCTGGGGTCCGGCTGTTCCCTGGATACTGCGTAGCCACGAACAGGAGGAGTCAGTCTGGTTTGCGCAGTCCAGAATAAACAGTCGGGGGCGCCCCCGACTGTTTAAACGCGACCCGCACCGCGCAGGTAGCAAATAAACAGTCGGCCGATCACCATAGCGCGTCTTTTTTTGTCTTGCGGTAAAGCCCGGTTATCCTGCATTTCTGTGCAAGAAAGTGTCATGTGTGTTCCGAGTCCCCTCGTCTGCAGTCATTCACTCATCCTGGCTTCGGAAGACATTGACTCTGCAGTCCTCAGTGCACAGACCATTTGTTGAGCTCAGTGACCAGTATGCCGCAGCCTCTTCAGTCCAGACCGATTCCAGACTGAGAACTACTCGGCAAGTGTTGCTTCAGTCGCAAGCGGATTCCAGAATGAGAACTTACCGGCAAGTGTTAGAGAGTCCTTGATGCATAGTGCCTTTCACTTGGCACCCGTTTAGAAGCAGGATCTAGCGAGAAGTGGCAGGTCGCGCTGACCTTGCAAAATCATGGCACCCAAGGGCCACTTGGAAGAGCAGGATAGCAAATCGCATTAGGAAAGAAGCTCGTGGAATTAGTTTGCCAGACTCAGGCGATCCGAAGAAGAAGGCCGCGGCCAAGGCCGCCAAGGCGGCCGCCAAAGGAAAGGCGAAAGTCGCACCTGCCCCAGCCGCCGGCCCAGTGGCTGGAGCAGCCCAGCCACGGGAAGCGGCGGAAATCCCGCCGGGATGTGAAGAACACCGCTACTGGGATGGAGGTGTGAACCAGAACCTCATCTGCAAGGTGAATGATGCCGTCGCCACGATCCTGGACAAGTTCCCCGGCCACTCGGCAGAGAAGCTTAAACGCTATAAAGCCCAAACGACCTGCCGCCAGGCATATTTAACCCTAAACCCTGGACGATCTGCTGCGAGGCATCCAGAATGAAAAGCCGCTGGACATCTCCGACGGCGGTTCCGAGAAGGCGTTCGACGCAGGCGACTACCACCGGGCGATGACTGGTGCTGGAACTTACCGCTGTGTTGGCAACCTCTTCCTGATAAATTTCGCCTACAGCCCCAGTCGGACTGCTTCATGTCTGTTTCGTGTGGCACATGGCTAGCTTTGCAAACACTTGTAGGCACCGATGTATTTCCTGTGTGTGTTGCAGGAACGTACCGGTGGCTGAAACAGCACTGATGGAGTGCAAGGACAAGATCTTCAACTTCCGTTGGGAGAAGGGAACCCTCAAGAACTATCCCTTTGAGATATCCATCGCGGTGATGGACACCTCGCCCTTGGATCACCCCGCGGGCTTGCTCCGCGTCAGTGCGGCCCCCAAGCCTGTGAAGAATCTTTGATGTCCAGGTGCTGCGTGCGAGCTGCGTGCGCATTTCGTGCCTCTGAGGCCCGGAAGAGTACGAGCAGGCGTTCTTGTTGTGGATGGCCGAGAAGTTGGACAGTGGCGCAGATGACACGGACAAGGAAGCAATGAAGCGAACCTTGTCTCCAGGGTTCAGAAGTGTAGACTTATACGCCATGTTCCCCTGGCATGCGTTCTTTGAGCCAAGGATTATTGACCTCGATCCCCTTCCGATTCCATGTTTTAGCCAGCGAAGACGCAAGGTTTTTCCACATGGCCAATCTTCGAGAGGATGCAACAGAACTGAATAGTTTTTGAAATGCATCGGTTTGACAGTTTGCGTTTTAAGGCAAGCTCCTTTCCGAAGTTATCCAGCAAAGGTAGTGAAGTCGTTCAAGCTCGTGGGCAGATCGGCGATCCAACGGATCTTCGAGCTCGAAGGCTTCAGGTTGCGCAAGCTGAAAAGCCACGGACCGGGTGGATGCGACCCAGCGCAGCTGGCACAGCAGTTCATGAAGGAGCTGCCAACGACATCCGGCGAAGAAGATGTGACGTCCGAGACTTATGTCCCTTTGGTTTGATTGGCAAGACTCTAAATAGCCAGTGGGCTGGAGAAAAGCAAAACATAGCAGGAAGACTACACGATCCCCACGAAGCCTCGCCCGTAATTCCAAAGCTGTTCGTCTGAATGCATTCAACGGTGTGCGTCTGAGATCAAAAACGCCTTCAAAGTCTTGGAGAATGTCTTGGCCGTGGATGAGGTGAAGCAGATCATTCTGGCCTGCGAGCGCGAGTACGGGAAGCTCAGCCCGTTTTACAGCATGTCAGCATGTCCCAGCTCGAGGCACTCATGGCGAAGACCAAAGATGCCGGCCAACTGGCCTGGGCGGTGGATGCCATCAAGTTCTATGTTGACCGGAAATTCGCCACCTCCGGCGAAATGTCCGCGAGGAACTTGACTGGCAAGACCACCAACAACAGAGGGCTGCTGGACGTCATGCTGGAGAAGCAGAAGATGCTTGAGCACCTCTTGCATCAGTGGCTGGAACAGCAAGCCTTGGACGCGGAGTCCAAGGTCGGGCGAGGGCAAAGACACTCTGGGGCGGATGTAGTGTTCAGAGCGTTCCATCCTTTTCAAACTTTGGATGCAGATTCAGGGCTTAGGCAAGTGTTTCTGCAGCACTCGCGACTTGACCAAAACGGGTTCTTTCTCTCGGGGAATCGAAGCCTGAACTGGATGGGGCAGAGGTTCATTGCATAATATGACAGAATGACAGGCGGTGATCCGTTCGGTGAGCTCGCCCGGCAGAGCTGCGAAGTTTTTCGACAAGAACTCCGCGTGGAAGGGCAGCGTCCAGCCAGGCTCGCAGGAGATCCTTGACTTCATGCGCGGAGTCATCTTTGGCCCGCGCTTCGACGGGCAGCTGAGGCATCTCATGAAGAGTGGGAAGACTGCTGCCGAGCTCTTCGCGACGGAGCCCTTCCAGTCGGAGATACTCCGTATCGAGGAGGACGTGCAGCAGCATGCCCCAGAGGCACGGGCTTTGCATGTTTGCAGGTCGTAGTGTAGTAAGACAGTTTAAGAGCACCAGTGGATATCAACAGACGCGTGAGTGCAGCTGACATGTTGCAAGTGATGCACAGTCATTCAGTCATGGCCATCTGAGCACAGGCTGTTGCTGCGGCCGCTGGAACAGCGCGTGCGCCAGCCGCTGGAACAGCAGAGGAGGAGGCGGGCTTCGCGGACATGCTCACCTCCGTCTTGACGGCGGAGGAGCTGGAGAAAGACACCGACAGCGCTGTCGAAGGCTTCCTAGAGAAGGCAGACTCACTCGTCCGGCGCTACATCACAACGGTCACTGAGGTGGAGTCCGGCTCGGAGTTCGTGGACATGCTGAAGGAGAAGTCCGTGTGGAAGATGAGCAGAGTGGGCGTGATGTATGCCGTGCAGCACGCAGGCGAGAGCGATTCGCTTCCCCACTGTCGTACCCCGAGATTTCGGTACGAGCACATGCGGAAGTACTTCAACGGCATCTTGGGTCGGAACGGCGAGGGAGATGAGAGCTTTCCTTCCAACATGCTCTTTTTTTGCTTTAATGCTGGGCATTTCGGGCACAATGAAACGTTTCTCAAGTGCATGACGGATGGGAATGGAAAAGCACTTCCGAAGCGGCGCGAGACGTTGTTTCTGCAGTTCGATGAAGAGTCGCTGCAACAGCGCCGAGGCAAGAAGCAGGGAGTGCTTGCTTTGGTTCAGGGTGCTGTGGTGTGCGCTTCTCCGGACATCACCATGGTGCCCCCGGACCTGCAGGAGCGGATGCACTTTACCAGCACAAGTCCTGCCACGAATGTGATTCAGGGAATCGGCGTGCCTCCGTACGACCAGCTTTGGCTTGTCAACAAGAAAGAGAAGTCGAACATCATCGCAGGAGGCGGCGTTGTCCGCGCAGGTGGCACGATCCCAGATGAGGAGAAGACGGAGCGACCGGACTTGTCGCAAGATCGTGTACCGGTCTGTTGGCACACTTTGCCAGTCGAACTCTGGGAATCTCGGCCTCACACATAGCTACTTGACGGTCCGAGTTCTGAGGTCACAGCCCCAGAGCCTTTAAACTATTGTTGCTTGGGGTCTTGTCGGGTTTGGGAGGCGTTGGAGTTGACTATTATCAGGAAAATGAATCCATTGCAGCACGAGGCCTTTGCTTCCGCAAGACCCACCTGTAGAAGAATCCTGTCCTGGCACATCAGCAAGGAAAAAAGGAAAAACACAGCATGCCCGGAGTTCACCGCTGGTCCAGGGTCCTGGGTCGAAGCACCCTCTCTCTTCAGGAGAGGGGATTTGCTTGTTGCTAGTTTTGAGCCAGCCGCAGGCTTTGTTGGAGCACTCGGTTTGTAGCCCGAGCCCTTGTCTGGTGACTCGGCAAGGCAACCCTAATCCCAACTTGGGCTTGTCGTGGTGGGCGCACGGTTCAACTCCACCGCATGCTCCACATCCCAGACTCGAAGATCTAAGCGAGGAGAGTACAACATGACAGGTCACACCCCGAGCATCCTCATGTCGGTATCGGGAAGCAAAACCTGGTCCGTTCTAGACCCAAGACTGGCCATTGAGTCGTGCAGCACAATGGTAAGTGCCGTCTTCATATCCTGTGCTGGGGGCTTTTTCCATGAGCGATTCAGAAAGCAGTCTAAATTTCAAGCAGCGTTGTGCGAGAAAACCAGGAAGAGTTGGTGCACTCGTACAGCCTCAACGGCCTGATCTGCCTGACCACTCTCGACGAGACGTGTTGCATGGCAGCGGTAAGGTCGCAGATCCCCTGCTTGGCCGTCGTCTTCAACGAGAAGCATGGGAAGGCGTTGCACGAGCGGCTGCTACAGTGTGTGTTCTCGGCAATGAGGGATCCGCAGGATGCCTTGTACGAGGCAGCACTGGCCAAGATCATCGGCAGCAGCCGCAAGAATGTGAAGAAGAAGAAGGTGACGAGGCCCGTCGCGAAGTCGACCGGCAAGGGCAGGAAGAGAAAGTCCAAGGGTGGCAAGGATCCCAAGGAGACAAAGACTAAGAAGAAGAAGACCAAGAAGGTCGTCGAGGAGGAGCCCGAGGAAGAGGATGACGAGAACGATGACGCCGAAGAGGACAACGACGAGGAGGATGAGGACGAGGACGAGGATGTCAGCGACGAGTGAGATTCGATTTGCCATCGCTGTCACAGCGGATTCGGGCAGGGCTTGGCTGATACAGCTCATTTGTGAGCTTGCGGTTGCGTGTCTGTAGGTGCACAGAATGCTACATACAAAGGCAAGTGCATTCAGGGTCGTGCTTGTAAATTATCAGCTACTTGAAGCAAGTTGGCCAGCCCATCCCATTTTGAGAGTCCGCCAAATTCCCACCACGATTTCTGAAGTCTTCGCAGGCTCAGAGCATGCTGCTGGCCGGTCACTGGATAAGTCTGGAACCAAAAATCCCACAGCGGCCTAGATCCTGCCGTCTGAGTACATTGAACCGGCCACTGCACGTTGCCTGCTAGAGGGGTGAAGTTCAGATCCCTTGCCGCCTGCGCACGCACTGCAAGCAAAAAATGAGCCTGAACGAATTGCTGGGAAGACACGCTCATGTTCTCAGAGTTGCAAGACTGGCGAGTGCCGAGTGCCATGCCTAGCGAGAAGATTTGCTTCGTCGGAGTTGAGATGCCTTGTAGTCGGTCGCCTGTCCATATTCCTCCGCAATGTTACCTGTTACGTACGGAATCGTTTCCAGGCTGTCAGACCATGGATTCCGCATAGACTTGAGTCTGGCCTGCTTACCTTCACACAATCTTGCCCGGACTCGTACTGCATGAGCCTACTGTCTGCGTCAGCAAGTGCTTCAGGAATAGACACCATCCGCTGTCCTTGCCGCGTCCCATCGCTTGGTATCTCGTGATTTCATGTGGCCAGTGGCCTGTCTAAGCTCATATGGAACAAGAATACCTGCGTTGAAGCACTATGACATGACGTGACGTCCGATGTTTTGAAAGGCTGTACAGCAAGATGCTTGACACGTGCTGTACTGCACTCAGGCTCCAGGACGGGGGCTCGTGGGGCCACTCCTCAAAGCTACGTATTTCTTGCGATTGCATCTGGCACAAACTTTACAAACTTTGGAAGCAACCCGCTATTTTCCAGATGTTCCAGTGTGCATGGATCCAACACAGAACTGCGTCATCGTGTGGCTTGACCCATCGTGCTAGTGACACCGCAAGATGTTTCAGTTTGCTACTAGGACGTGCTGAAGCTACCGTGCAAACTGAGCCAACTTAGTAGCTGAGTGGATACATACACTTTACACTTTTTGGGATAATATTACCCACTCTAAAACTGAAAGCATACACTTTTTGGGGGCGTGCTGCTGCAGTGCTTCTCCTGCCATGCCTTGGAAGTGTGTTCGCTGCCGGATCAACTACACGCACCGCCGTCATGACAAGGTGTGCTGGAAGTGCCGACCCAGCCAGCGAGGGTCGACGAACAGGCTGGTCGCTGTTCGAAGGCTCCCGATGAAGACCAGGCCCAGCAGCAGGAGCAAGAGTTTCATCTGGGAGCACGAGGCGAAGCAGAGAAAGCAGTCGGCCAGTGATCCGCAGCGGCTGGAGCAGTCACCATACAACTTCAAGCAGTTGCTGGAGCAGCAGAAAGTCCATTTGCAGACATTGTTTCGCAACGACATGTCAAAGGTCCACGATGTCTTGGGGGTCGGCCATGCTTTCTTCGACAAGATCCAACGACGTAGCCGGACAATGCTGCCGGCCAGGACTGCAATCAATGTCGCGGGTTTGGTCTCTTTTGCTATGGCCAACAGCGGTTCCCTGAATGACGACGATTGTTATCGCTTGAAGTACAGGCAACTGTTGCAGCTCCGGGCCAAGGACCTTTCGGAGGCAGAATGCCGCTGGTTGAACATAGTTGGCAACATGGACTAGGTGCTTTTCGGCGCAATTGGGCACTGGCAATATCTGTTCTTCAAACGTGAAAGTCGAGAGACTGGTTTACCCAGACTAAAGATAGAGAGAGAGAGAGAGGGAGAGACAGGAAGAGGGCATCGCTCCTGGTCAGGGACAGAAGAAAAGGCAGGTCAGAGCCCAATTGGCCGGTAGGCGCAGTATGCGAACTGCGTCTTGGGATGGCAGCTGTGAGCGGGGAAGCAGCAGATGGAAACAGCAGCGACTTTTCTGGGTTTCGCATAGACACTGTGGCGCATGTAGGATGTCTGATTGTGTTGCACATGGAGAAGGCTGTGCAAGGTATTACAAACGGCAGACTATTTAGCAGCATGCTTGTGCCTTGCGAGGTGGCAGAGGTTGTTGATGTGTCGGGCTTGCGCAATGGAATGAGATTCACGGTATCGTCCTCACTTAGTCACATAGCTGCAACACAAAGTCACAGTATTCACCACCTTGACAAAGCATTCTGATTCTTGCAATGTTGCAGCTTTGCTCAAGTGGTCGTACCCGGCCGGTCTCCAAGGTTTGCGGCCTCTGGTCGACGGAGCAGACTAGGTGAGGGACGTCGGCCAAAGTAGATCCGTAACTTCGGCCTCTGGTCGATAGAGCAAACTAGGTAAGGGAAGTCAGCAAAAGTAGATCCGCAACTTCGGCCTCTGGTCGATAGAGCAAACTAGGTAAGGGAAGTCAGCAAAAGTAGATCCGTAACTTCGGCATCTGGTCGATAGAGCAAACTAGGTAAGGGAAGTCAGCATTTGTAGATCCGTAACTTCGGGAAAAGATGTCTGAGCCGCTGCGTGTCGTCAGCGCCTGCTCGGGCTTGGGCACAGAATGTTTTGCCCTGAAGGCAATGGGTGTGCCTCACAAGCTTTTGATGGCCTGTGAGAAGCTGGAGCACATGCGTCGGTTTCTCAAGCGCAATCATGGCCCGGCCGTCGTGGTCAGTGACTGCAACAGTCGCAAGTTCCTGGCAACAGGAGGAAGGGCAGACCTCTTTGTGGCAGGGTTTCCGTGCCAGCCCTTCAGTGCTGCCGGCGACGGCGGTGGCGAAGGCGATGCCCGCGGCTCTGTCGCCTTCGCCATTGTGAAGTGGCTGCAACAGCACAAGCCAGCGGCCTTCATCCTGGAGAACGTCGGGGGCCTCCTAGAGAGACATCGCAAGACTTTCGACAAGATTATCAGGAAGCTGCGGTCAATCAAGCGACTGCGTACAGCCAAGCACAACGCAAAGAAAAGCCTGGACGCAAAGAAGCTGAAGAAGAAGAAGAAGACGAAGAATCCGGGCCACTACGTGCTTCAGTGGAAAGTTTTGAACTCTCTGCACTACGGTGTGCCGCAGGCCTTGTGGGAGGGAATGTGTTTTGTCTAAATCTTAGGTCCCCGCTAGACCGGTTGTTTATGATGTTGTAGCTGGTGTCCCGTTATCTCTGCCCTGTCTCAGAATCGCACACGGCTCTTCATCGTGGGGATCGCACGGTCCAAGATGAAGCAGCCGTTTTGTTTTCCGAAGGTGCAGCGCAAAGTCAGTCTCAAGAGTATCTTGGACACGAAAATCAGAGGAAGAATCCAGGACATGCCGGCGAACCGCGTGGCCAAGAGGAACTTGGAGGCTGCAGAGCTGAAGTTCAACAAGAGAGGGATTGACGTTTACAAGAAGTACGTGGCCGTTGATATCGGGGCCTCGCCGTCCAGACCTTACAGCGTTCTGAACAGGCTTCCGTGCTTGACGGCGAGTCGGGGCGGTAGCTGTCCTCACTTCGTGACCGGCCTGCGCCGGCAGTTGAGCGTCACAGAACTGATGAGGGCACAGGGTCTGAACCCTTTGAAAGTCAAATGGGACCGCATTTTGAGTGAGCGACAGCTGGGCACTGCCTTGGGCAATGGCATCACACAGACAGTGCTGGAGGCATTGCTGTGGGAGGTCTTGACATCCTTGGGTAGGAGACGGATGGCAAAGCTGGCAATCAAAGCGGGCTGAAAGCCTGAAAGCGGTGTTGCGAGGCTTTACAAAAAATGGCGTGGTCGCGAGCCAGTCTAATCATCGATTGCTACAAATTTGGGTATCTTTCACGGAGGAAGAACCCAGCAGAGGCATGCAGGCTTGGGGGCGCTAGGTAATCGCAACAATTCGTTTCCCTGCAAGACAAGAGCACCCCCGGTCGGTTTGGTGACTACAGGGGGGGGGTTGAATTGAGGGGGGTTCGAGCACAACAAGACACAACAATTGGCTGCTTTTTCAGCGCCACGTCGACACGGCTGCTTCTTCAGCGCCGCACAGGTCATGATGATTCATGACTACACGGGCCACATGATTTCATGAGTATAGGGGGGGTTTCGGGGTTTCGAAACTGGAGGGTTCCAGGGTTTCCAATAAGGTCATGAAATCTGCCGCTGAGCAAGCAGTGTGTGTGTGTGTGAGTGTGTGTGTGTGTGTGTGTGTGTCAGTGTGTGTGTGTGTGCGTTTGTATCTCTGTTTTCTTTAGCTATATACAGTCGGACAAAGAGGTAGACCTAATTCACCCTAGCCACTATACGCAGCAGCAACTTCTTAGTATTTTTCACTTCGTGAACTGTTCGATGGACCCGCAACCCAGGCATCGTCAGTCGTCAGCCCCTGAGACTGCCACGGAGCTCCGGAAAGCATCGCGTGAGGGCCTTGTTGACCTGGCGTGGGCTCTTGGTTGGTTCAGGGATTGACTTGAAGGCTTAAGAATGTGGGTAACCATGCTTGGGGATTTAGGGTTTTTTTTTGGAAGCGTGATGACCGTAGTCTACCTGTGCAGGCACACGCTGGTGAGACTAAACCATCTTGTAATTCAGGTTTGGGCTTCCTTTCTGCATTTCAGATGGAGTGGGGTTGGACATCGATCTCGCCATTAACCTCGATGCAGCATCCCAGAAGTTTCTTCCAGGAGCTTGAATTCAGAAAGGGGTTTGTGAAACATTGTGCAGCCGACGACATCGTGGACCAATATTGCAGAGTGGCTGAAAGATGAGATTCCCATCAGAGTGAAGAGGCCGCTCACTTGTAAGGTCTGCAGCAAAACGGGCACCCCTTCCATCTGAGATCTGTACGTGGTTCGCCACATCTAGCACAGAATCGAATCTCATCAGCATCGACATCTGCCGCACCGCTCAGGTCCGACGGATCTGCAGACCGCTTTCTCTTGGGAGGTTCGGTGCTGGCAGCCTCCAAAGGAGTGCTTTTCCCAGTCATTCTTCGCCAGACCGGGCCGAATGCAGTATCCAAAGCTTGGATCTGTCTATCTGGAGTGGGATCATCGTAATATCTGTCCAAAGTCCCGCTTGATGTGGCCGATATTGCTTCTAGAACCGCTGGGGAGGTGCAAATCGCTGATAAGAGCGTGATGGATGATCGCTTGAAGGTATGGGTCCCGATCTTCGTCAGGTCAACCTTTTCAAAGCAGTGCTCCTCCCCCCCTGCCTGTCGCGTATTGGCTCGCTCCTGTCCGATGATCTCGCTTGCTCTTCTCAATCTTAGCTGATATGCCTCTCGGGTCATGGGTTGATTCCATACTCTCTCGCCAGATACTGTACGGGAAGCAAAAAGGTAGTTGTCTGGCGCGGTGTCCTGATTCTGGAACGGCCACTGGCTGTTACAGCCACATAAGGGTGCGTCATGCAGCCATCGATGCAGCAAGCTGGCCAGGGCCGCCGGGATCGGCACGTCCCGCGCCTTTGTCTTGCGGTTCACCTTTTCCACAGAGATCTGTGGGACTCCGTGATCCTCAGGCGCTAAGTTCTGGAGCCAGCGGAACCGACACTGCATCGTGGCCCCGCCACGTTCGGCAAGAGCAAGCTGAATGAGAATTGCCACGCAAACCCAGGGCGCCCCGTCTTGCCTCAGCACCTCCATCAAATGAAGAATCTGCTTCTTGTTCAAAGTCGTTCGGGGCCCCCGTTTCTTAGCCGGCTCTGGCTTTGGATTCAGGCACAGCGTTTTGTGGCGAAGGCAGCAAAAGCGAATCACCTTAGCGGCTGCATGCTGCGAGTCACGGCATTTCTCAAGGTTCACCTTGTTCTTCTTCACTTGCAGGTCTTTGCCGATATTTTTAACATCGATTCCACTCTTGCATCGCTTGTAAGCACAGCATAGCTTGATTGGGGAATCCCTTTTCCTGGCAGGCCCTCGTGTGCCCGTTTTGAGCTTTGGAGCCATTTCTGTACAGAGGGAGGCAACCAGACTATGTAATTGAGCCAGTGCTGTTTTGCCAGCCATTCCCATCATGCCTTAGGCTTCGTCGGGCAGGACGAAAATTACCCGAACACGAAACCAGACCTCGAAACCAGACTTGGACGGAAGTCTGGTTTTTCCGGCTTCCGGGGCCTCGTGGGGCCCGGTTGTGTTTTGGGTTTGCTTTCCCGGGGGGTTTGAGAACTGGGGGGTTTCCCACTAATAACAGGGTTTGGTGACTACCGGGAAAGGGGGGGTTGAGGGGGGTTCGGGGGGGTTCGGGGGGGTTTGGGGGGGTTTGGGGGGGGTGGTTCGGGGGGGTTTGGGGGGGGTTTGGGGGGGGGGTTGGGGGGGGGGTTGAGGGGGGTTCGGGCACAAAGACACAACAACTGGCTGCTTGTTCAGCGCCACGTCGACACGGCTGCTTGTTCAGCGCCCCACAGGTCATGATGATTTCATGACTACAGGGGCGTTTCGAAACTGGAGGGTTCAAGGGTTTCCAATAAGGTCATGAAATCTGGCGCTGAGCAAGCAGCCAAGGTTATATCTGATGTCGGTTCCAGGGTTCCCAATAAGGTCATGAAATCTGGCGCTGAGCAAGCAGCCAAGATTATATCTGATGTCAAGGGACTATAAGGTTATCTGATTCGCCAAGAAGACACAACAACTGGCTGCTTAATCAGCGCCACGTCGACACAGCTGCTTCTTCAGCGCCGCACAGACATCAGTCATTATAAAAACCCCTTCAACACAGGCACGGTGTAACAACCACTTCAGCACACAA